AACCGAACTCAAACTTGGGCAAAAGTCCGGTTCGGTTCAGTTCATAGGAACACTAGTTTATACCCTCTCCCAACTTAGGTTCTCATTTGTAAACTAATTTGACAATTAGTGAACAAACTTGTAACAATATCCTTCTAAAAAATTCATACTTTCTTGCAATAAAATATTACTTCTTATCATTATCTAGATAATTATTATTTTTATAATATATTAACTGATTTTAGATTTGTTTCTTTCAATCAGATAGGGTTTCTCCATTGAGTATTGCTGGAAATTGACAATTATATTTCCATTTAATATTACTCAAAATTGGATATTTATCTGTATAGATCATATTTAATGATTAAATAATTTATAGTATTTTTTAGAGATTATGCAATTTATATCAAATTTAGAAATTTTAGATCTATTGAATTTAATCAATTATATTGTTATTAGTTTACTTGAATTTCAAATATAATATACTTTCTTACATGCTTAATACGTATTTCAAATCAAGTAGAAGAGATAAGATAAATAGCTAAAGGTAATGATATATATTCATTTAAATTACTAGTTAGCTAAAAAGTGACTTAGAAATTTTCTTATAATTTAATGTGTATTTAATAAGATAATTATGATGATAATTTATAAGTAAGTAAAATATTATAAATTCAATTTATTAAATTATTTTAATAATATGACATCACAATGTGAGAGATTTAAACTATAAATATGATATTACAAACATGTAAGAGATTATTAATATAATATGTAAGAGGTTATTAATATAATATCACAAATATGTAAAAGATTATAACAAAACTAAAATAAAACTTTAAAATTTAAATAATGAAATAATAAAAGAAATATTTAAATATTCTAAATATGTTAAATTCAAAAAAGATATTATGATCAAAGAAGTTTATTTTTGAGTTAATAATATTTAGAACTTAATTAATTAACTAATTGACTTGTTAATTGACTAACTTATTAACTTATTAACTGATTTTTCTAAGTTAAAATACATGCTTCTTTTATATAAAATTGTTAAATCAAAACTACTAATGATATTTACAAGAAAATTACTTATTTGTTTACTTGCTCACTTATTTGCTTATTTATTTGCTTGCTTGTTTATTCACTTACTTGGTCACTTATCTTGTGAGCTAGTATAAATATAGATCATCTGATATAACCTAAATAAATAATCTACATATTATTTATAAATAATAATATAAATATGATACAAATAATAATATAAATAATAATATAAATAATAATGTAATACGAGATATAAATATAAAGATTTTAACTAATTAAAATATAATATGTGTTCTCAAAATTATCCAATAAGATTAAATAATAAGTTTGACTAATAATTAATATGAAATTCTATTATATAATAGTATTATTTTATTATTACTCAAACACATTTAATATTTATTTTATATTTATATTCTCATTAATTTGTTATTGTTAATCATTCACTATTATTAATTATAATTAAAGTTTAATAAAGTGAACTCATATTAAAACAAAGAATTTTCAGATATCAATCTATTAACAGAGAGCTTGATATAATAAAGAATAATATTAATAATACTTTATAATATTAAGCAAAGTTTATTTTTGAATAATGTTACAAGTTTGTTCACTAATCATAAAATTAGCTTATATACAAAAATCTAGATTGGGAAAGGGTATAAACTGATAAAGAAAATATTAAGAGAGAAGAGAGATATCTAAGACCTATATCAATTTCTATGAAAATTATATTTACTTGAAAAGAAATAATAATATGAGAGAGTTGTGGGAAAGTAAAGGTCAAAGAGAAGAGAGGATATAAAGAATAATAAAAAGAATTCAAAAGAGTAATTCTATACTTGCATAAAACTTTCTAGAACTAAGATAATATAATTAGTAATAATAATAACAAAGACTCTTTTACTTTGTTCTTTTCACGAGTGAGAAATATTCATTAACAATTAAAAATTCAAATAACAAAAAGTAAAATACTTATAATCCAATTTTAATAATTCTAATATAGCAATTTGTTTAGCATAATATAATATAAAACTCAATAATTCAATAATAGTAATTTGTTCAGCACAATACAATATAAAGTTCAAAGTCAATAATAGTAATTTGCTTAGCGCAATATAATATAAAGCTGTTAGCAATTTGATAGATTCAATATGATATAAGATTACTTATATATAAGATTTGAAGTGTATAAAGAAAATATGAGAGATAATGTTACGAGTTCTGGATTCAGGTAGGTAATCTTGTGCTGTAAATGTTCAACCAACATCTATCTTAATAAGTTAATAATTTCAATTCAGTTATTTTAGAATTGTGATGCTGTGCAGTTTCTTTTATTCTATTAATTTAGAATAGGTAACACTACTACTAATAAATATCTTCCTTTGTATTTACTTAGTATGATGATGATTTTATAGCAATACAATACTGATATTCTATAGTAACCTGGTTGAGTGTCCAGTAGTATATAGAGTAAGTGTTATAACAAGATTAATAATTATAAAACTAATTAATATATAATTTCATTAAACAATAAACAAAAAACAGTTTATTGACTAGCTAGATTTTGTATTGATCAATTAATATCTTTTGGTCTATTCAAAAAATTCTTTATTTATATAAAATAATTTTATGATTAAGTTATTATAATGTGGGATATGTTATACATATAAGATAAATATGATATAGCAGATAATGTTGATATGTCTGAGAACTCTGCTATTTTTGTTATCTCTGCTATTAATATTCAGTCACATGATCAGAATTAAGAAATTAGAAATAATTCTGAATTATAACAGCAGAAAGTATTTGAAAGAAGATTTTTGTTAAAAGAAATTTTTATTTTCAATTACAATATGTTGAATTAAGGCTCAAATAACACCTTTATTTATATATTTTCAAAATTACAAAAAGTGAAATAAATAATTATAAAAATATATAAAAGTAAATAACTAATTATAAAAGTAAAAAGTGAAATATTGAAAAAGTGAAATAATAAAAGTGAAAAAAATAATAAAAAGTGAAATAATATATATAAAAATGAAAAATAAAAAGTGAAATATTAAAAAAGTGAAATAATAAAAGTGAAATAATAAAAGTGAAAAATATATAAAAATGAAAAGTAAAAAGTGAAATAACTAAAAAGTGAAAAATAAAAAGTGAAAAATAATTCTAGAAGATTTTATTATTATATGAATATTTTTAGGATTTTTGTGTTTTTCAATTATTTTTGAATTTGTGATTTTTATATTATTACTGTAACAATAATCTGGGATCTTCAATTTATCAAACTTTAATTATATATTTTACTTATTTAAAATTTGTCATGAATACAGTTATTGTTAACTATTTGCATATGTAAGAACTAGAAACAATAGCAGTATACAACAAAAAATTAGATAATTGCAGGATGAGATTTATTTTTTTTTTGAGATTTCAAATATAATAAACAGAAAAACACAAAAGATAACAAGAAAAACAGTTAGAAAGATGTTTTGTTGATTTTATTATAAGTTTTGACAATAATTAATTTCAAAGCAGAAAAGAAAGGAATTCATGTGATAATTCATGTCAAAGACATGTAGTTGATATAGAAACATTCAGAATCAGAAACATACAAATACAAGAATTGCAATATAAAAATAGATAGAGATATTAATAGCATCCAAGAGATATTCCTTCGGACTTTGCTTGATGAAGCCATGATCTTGTTATAAGCTATTTTCATGCAGGAAATAGTAACTTTACTTAGTAATACTTAGTATTGATTGTTATTGACGTATTACAATCCATCTGGACTTGCCCTCTGTTTACCATCAAAAGTTGATAGGATCATTCGATTCGAAAAGTTAATTGATTTAATGAGCACTAAAGATGCGATGCATGAAGCTTGGACAAAAACCAAACATGATGCAATAATTTTCTGATATTTTATTATGATCACAAACAATAAATTAAACATTTTGAACAATATTTTTTTTAATCCAATTTTCAAGTCCATCAGCCACCCACAGTTCTTGTACGCTACTACCCAAGCCTGAACCACCTTTAACTCGATATACTCTCTCTCTACCATCGTCAGCACTCACGGTCACAATTCCTTCTGCCAATAGAACCTTTGCGTGCCAGTTAGTTCTTTGACATAGTACATGTGTTCCAATAATCTTTTTTAGGTCGTTGACGAGCTCGGGAACTTCTAGTAGTAACAGCGCGTTATTTATAGAGTTGCGTTTGAATGTTTCGGATAGTGAGCCGGCAATCAGTAGTTTTATTCCTTTGGCTTTGATGGCAGTGGCTGCTTGTTCTCGTGAGGAGCCTGTCCCAAAATTAAAGCCACCTACTAGGATGTCACCCTTTTTATAATTAGAAAGTAGATTCATTATTATTTAATTGATAATATCTATTAATTTAATTAATGATTAAAAAAATACCGATTTTGCGATCTTCTGGAAATTTGGATCGTAATTTTCCATTGCAACTTTTGCCATATATTCCGGTGGTAAATCATCCACATATGTGTATTTTCCTGGATATATCGCATCGGTATTCATATTGTCTGCGTGACAGAATAAGAGTTCACCGTGGATTGATTCTGGGAAACCTGGTAACGTTTGTGGGATTGATTCTCGAGAGAAGGTCACTGGTGAATTTATTGATGCATCTTCGGTGTTGATCGTTATTGAAATCGTTGGTGTTTGTGAATTGAACAATGGGAGAGTAATGGCTGAGGATGAAGCTAGAGGACTTGTTATTTTTCCAGCAATAGCAGATGCAGCAACTACCTCTAATTAATTTATTACATATTTAATAAAATCTATTAATTATAATAGTGTGAAGCAGCAAATTGGAAAATAAAGTTTTATTTTACCTGGTGATGCTAAATAAGTTTGTGCATTTGGAGATCCCATTCGACCTTTATAATTCCTATTAGTGGCTGATATTCCAACTTCTCCATCTTTTAATAAACCAACACCAAGACCTACAAGTTGCATAATATATTTAATATATTGAATGAATAGTATTAACTAATACAATACATAGAATTTACCTATACAAGGACCACAACCAGCGGGTAACACTTTTGCCCCAGCATCAAATAATATCTGCCAATCCCCACTACTTTCCGCATCTTTTTGCACTTCACTACTAGCAGCCGCGATATAAAATTCTACACCTTCAGCCACCTTTTTATCCCGAACCACTTGTGCAGCGGCATGTAAATCACTAGCACGTGAATTGACACACGATAAAAGATAAGCTTTATTAATTGAAATGTTTTTCTTTTCGAGTTCTGAGAGTGACGTTGAAATTTTTACGGAATTTGGGCCTGAAACGTGCGGAGAGAGAGTCGATAAGTCTAATGTTAGGTGTTTTGCGTAATACGCATTCGGTGATACTTTTATAGCTTCTCGTTCAATAACATCAATTCTCTCGTGATTAATACGTGGATGTTTAAATTTTTGGCCATTATTGGCATTCTTAAGCAAATTATTGTTCTCAAATCTAGTTAATTCTAATTTGGCGATGCGTTGCCTAAGCCATCGGATAGTTGTCTTATCAACAGGAAATACACCAGCAAGTGCACCCCATTCTGTGGTCATATTCGCGATTGCCAACCGATCCTCTAAACTAAGTGACTGAATTCCTTCATCACCAGTAAACTCTATCGCACAATTCAACACTTCATCATTATTAAATAGTCCACACAATGTAATAATAACATCTTTGCCGGTAACACCTTTTGGCAATTGCCCTTTTAGTTCGACTTTTACCACTGGTGGTATTTGCCACCATGTTTTCCCGGTTGCCCAGAGTGCTGCAGCGTCAGTGCGCACAATCGGTGTACCAAGACATCCTATACCCCCGTACATGTTTGAATGTGAATCAGAAGCGACCGTTAATGTGTATGGAAATGCGTATCCCTCTTCTATTAATATTTGGTGGCCAATTCCGCGACCAGCAGGATAGAAATCTACGTTGTGTTGTTTGGCGAATTCTTGGATAGAAGAGTATTTTAAGAGATTCTGAATATATTAATAACATTTTTATATTAATTGTAAATACGATATTTTATTTTGTTAATCAAACGAGTTTTAGTTTTTAAAGCACCTTTTCCGATTTATTTTGTACATCATGGTCAAGCGTAAATACCGCCTGCTGAGGAAATTTGAATTTTTGTACTCCGATACTTTTAAACCTAAAAATAATTTCAGAAAATAATACGATTAACAAAAAATCATACTTGCATATTCGCCTGTTTAGATTTTAATAATTCTCAAAAATAAATCGTAACACTCACTTTGTCATTACAGCCGCGGTATTATCATGTGTCATAACATGCTCAGGTTGTATCGTTACAAATTCGCCACTTCTTACTTTATGCCCTGGTGGTAATCCAATTGCATACTTTTGGACTATTTTCTCGATTAGATTTTGTGACGACGAAGTACTGTTAAGATCATTATCAATAGAAGGTGTATTTAAAGACGCAAACGTTCGAAATCCGGAGTTTTTTCTTTTATAGGTAGATAAGAAATATTTCGGGTGGTTTTTGTTAGAAGATAAAGTATTTAAAGGTTTGATGCGTGGGAAGAACGCCATTAGTGAAGGTAATGAGGAGTTTAGCAGGTTGTGCTTTCGAGTTGTTACGGGTTACATAATCATGAGTCATAATCGTGAGAAAAAAGATTGAGATAATATATTAACAGTGAAACGCGTAGTATCGGTATTGGTATATATTTTCGATCTTTAAAATAAAAATGTTTCGCATTTCAACATTTGCGAAATCTTTAAACTTTATCACTACCACCACCTCATCAAACATACCAAAAAAAACTCTCTTTGCGGGTAGACGCGTACCTTCACCCACCGCTGTGACCACTACTACTAATAAGTTTTCTTTCACCAGCAACACCACCAAAGAATCTCTTCCAACTTTTTCCAATAATCTCTCATCTTTACCATCTCTGCTCTCTTTATTTAATAATAATCTTCTGTCATCGACGACTTCGTCGTCGTCGGCGTCTTTTCTACTCACTCCGAATTACAATTTTGGAGTCACTCAAATTCGAACTGTCACTTGGCATCCTCCAAAGAAACCGAGAAAGAAGGCTGCATTGTTGCGTAGGTTCTTGAAGGTTGATTAATTAGTTTCTTGTGATTTTGTGATTAAATCAATTCTTTCCGAGTGAGACATTATTAGTTCAATATTAAAATAATGTCAATTGTCATAGGCTAAACGTAAAAGACTACGAAGAAATGTGTTTAAAGCGAGAAAATGATGATGTCCTATTTGTAGTCACGTGAATAATAAAAAAGATGATGCAGTACCACAATTTGCTACATTTACCAATCATCCAATGCCAACGCACATTATTTAAAAAAAATTAAATCTTTGAAGTGTATTGAAACAACAACTACAGAATACAATCCCAATTACTAACAAGATGGGATTGCTTGGGTCTATACATTATAATAATAAATTATTTTCAATTCTATTATTATTTGTTATACTGGTACCTTTATTTGGTATAGATTGTTTCTGTTGGTTATTTGTTTGGGGAGTTCTTTTCGTTTGTGAATAAATAAAGAGTACAAAATAATAGTTACAAACTTCAATATTTGCAAAAAAAGCATCATCATAGATCATAGACAAAAAATAATAATTGATCAATCGGTCATATTTTAAGCATAATCAGAAAAGTTACATGCTAAATTTTATTTAAATTTATATATGATATATACATACAGTACATGGAGCAAAAAAAGAGACAGAACCAGCAAATCCGCCCGGAGAAGATGTAGAACTTAGTGCAGAGTTAATTGACAATCCGTTCAGTTGTAAAGTATCTACATCTCCATCTATATGATAATGTAACAAGTATATTCTTCAATGAATTAAATTGATCTTTTATATAATTAAAAACAATAAAGTGGTGGTCAACGGACAGCAAACAAGACTACAAATCGTCTTCAACAACAAAGGACAAGAAAACTACACGGTCAGATTAGTGGCGGGAGTATTAACGAATCCTGATAACGCTACTGATATTTTTACCAAAGTAAGTATTACTTTTTGGTATCAATTAATTTTTCTTGTGGATATTTTTAAACAAAAAATTCCGGATTTATTACACCAAAAGCTACCAACCATACAATACGACTACCCCGTTCCAACAATGGACCATGTGGAGCTAGAGTACAGATTTCATTCGGAATTCAATCCGCAGGATTTGGATTTGATTGTTTTTGTGGCTTTTACTGATGATGTATGAGGTTATATTTATTCTTTTATTTTATTATTTTGAATTTTTGTTTTTTTAATTTGTATATCGTTCGATTTTTCTTAGAAAAATACTCGGTTTGAAGGTGTTGCATACAATTCTACAATTCATATTGTTGAACCAGAACAATCTATTTTCGATTTACAATTGTAAGTTTATATTTTTTCAGGACTACCTTTAAAATTATCGTTCTATTTTTTTCATTACTAATATAAAATACCATTTTCACCAATCAACCAAAAAGACTTTTCTTATACTTGATCCTAGCCGGCATCATTGGTGGTGTTGGTTACATGATCTTCCAAGCATTCTTTGGCGGAGTGAAATCAAAGAAAAATCAAAAGGTAACAACTGATTTAATCTAATCCAACAAAAATAAAATTCAAAACAGGATATTAAAATATTTTATTGATAATCCCCAACAAATAGAATCGCAATCAAAAAATAGCTGAAAAACAAGCAGCACAAGCAGCCATCGAATTAAAGACCTACGATGAAAGTTGGATCCCAGAGCATCATTTGAAAAAACCGACTCGTAGTGCTTCAAAAAAAATGAAGAAGGACGATAAAGCAGATTAATATTAATCATGAGTAAATAGTCAGAAATAATAGATAGTGCATGAAAATTTTTTATATTCATTCGGTAATTTACATTTGCGAGCATATATATTATATCAATATAAACTTTTTGTAATATTCAAAAGTATCTATTAAATTTGTAAAAAAATTTAAATTGATAGATTTCATTTTATTATTGCTTTGGTCATCTTATCTCACATATAATTATCTTTGTCAAATATTCTTTGCTATGTCTGTTTAGCCTAAGAAATTATATTTAATTTTATTTCTTGCAAGAAAAAATACCATATCTGAATAACATTTTTTATAAAAGTTTACTGATACAATCATTATCAATGAGCTATAGTAATTAATTTAACCTATTGTCAATGTTTTACTTGATTTTCACTTTTACTATATCTTCTTACATGCTCAACATGTGTTTCAAGTTGGATGGGAAAGATAAGATAAATAACTAAAGGTGGTAATGTGTATTAATTAAATACTAGTCAGCTAAAAAGTGACTTAAAAAATCTTCTTATAATTTAATATGTATATAATATAATAATTATGATAATAGTTTATAGACAAGTAAAATATTATAAATTCAATTTATTAAATCATTTTAATGATATAATATTACAAACATGTAAGAAATCAAATTATAAATATGATATTGCAAACATGTAAAAGATCATAATATAATATTACAAGCTTGTAAGAGATTATAACAAAACTAAAATAAAACTTATAACTTAAATAATAAAATAATAAAAGAAATTATATTAATATTCTAATTGTATTAATTTCAAAAGAGCATTATTATCAAAGAAGTTTATTTTTGAGTTATTAATACATGTATTTGATTGACTTTTTTAAGCTAAAATACATGCTTCTTTTATAAAAAATTATTAAATTAAAACCATCAATAATATTCACAAGAAAATTGCTTATTCATTTACTTGATTGCTTGCTTATTCACTTATCTTGTGATTTAATATAAATATAGATCATCCAATGTAATATAAATAAATAATCTATGTAATATTTGTAAATAATAATATAAATAATAATATAAATGTAATACAAATAATAATATAAATAATATAATACAAGAATATAAAATAATGTAAATATAAAGATTTTAACTAAATAAAAGATAAATATGTGTTTTCAAAATTATTCAATAAGATTAAATATAATTTTAACTAATAATTAATGTGAAATTCCATTATATAATACTATTTAAATATAGTATGATTGAGTATTTTGATAATAATTGAAATTAAATATGAATTCAAAATATATATTGTTTGAAATAGTATTATTAAAATTAATATTAAATAAATGATAAAAAGAAAAAACCATATATATTATCTTTTATAAAGCTACCTATACCTGTTAAAATTTATTATTTTCTTTATAATAAGTTTACAAAAAAAGTTTTTCCTATTAAACTAATAAGAAAAAAGTTTATTAATAATTTCAGAAAAAAGATTATGAAGAAGATTAAAACTGATTTTACTATCTTATCCTCTAGATAGATAATTTTTGTATTTAGAATAGCTAAACTTTGATAATCTCTAGTATTTCTCAAATAAAATCAATAAGATATTCAAAGAATCTTTAACAAAGTTATATTTATATAATTATAAAGTTACTTATAATACAAAATAATAAGTAATTGTTTTCAATTGTTAAAAATTTGCTTTAAAAAACTATTAAATACTAATATTTATATTTTGCTTTTTTAATTTGCACTTGAAAAAGATAACAGATTTATTAATATATCTGCAAATATAATTTATAGAACATTTTATAAAAATAATTTCAAAACATATTACAAAAAAAAAATTGTAATTGCTAAAATATTATCATAAAGCTCATTTAATATTCATAAGAAAATATTAAAATTAATTCATTAAAAATCAACAAAAAATAATTTGATCAGATAAAAACAAATTTATAATCTTTGAATTAAATGATAAATAATATTATTGATAGTATTATGATTAGATTTCTGATAGATGTTATCATAATGTTGTTACAAGTTTCAGGCTCAGGTAGATAATTTTGTGATATAGATATTCAATCAACATCTATTTTGATAAGTTTATAATTTGATTCAATTGCTTAGAATTGTGATACTATGTAACTTCTTTTATTCTATCAATTTAGAATAGGCAATATTACTACCAATAAACATCTTTTTTTGTATTTACTTAATATAATAACAGTTCTATAGTAATATAGTATTAATATTCTATAGCAATCTGGTTGAGTGTTCAGTAGTGTATAAAGTAAGTGTTATAACAAAATTAATAATTATAAAATCAATTAATATACAATTCTTATTAAATAATAAACAAGAAACTATTTATTAACTAGCTAAATTTTGTATTGATTAATTGATATCTTTTTTCAAAGTTTTAATTACACTTTATTTATAATAAATATTTTTCACTCATAAATGTTACATTTATGACTAATTATATAAAAATAATAATTTATAAAATTTGATTAATTAATATATATATAAAAACAATGAAAAATACAGAAAT